CAGGAATGAAATAGGACATATTAACTTGAAAACCGCGTTTGTTGTATAGTTACGCTTGACTGACACCAGACAATTTTATGTTAATACTATAGTAGTGAAAATAATATTAGACTCTATGTTTAAAATTTCATGTCTGTTCCCATTGGCATAATCAGCAGGTTTGTCGCTGAGTTTACAAACAACAGGCAGATTTTCAACATTATTGATCATTCTAATGAAGTGACTTTGAAGAGAATGTCGTGGTTATTATTACCTTTTTTCACCTTATCAGGAAAAGGCATCAGCAGAGAAGTCCTAAGAGTGTTCCAAAATAACATTAATCAATCATGTAAATGGTTGTGGACCTGGAACAAAACATGAAACACTCGCGGCAGTATTGACAAACAGGATTGTCATGAGTAAGGAAAACTGTCTTGTTTGGACGGATATAAGCCGAGACCTAATGAAAAGGCTCTTTACAGTTCTCTTAAACTTCTATTTCCTGTTCTTGCCTCTCTTCAGCAGTTAAGGGTAGAGCGTAATAATTTTTTCAAAGTTTTCAAATACTGATGCTGTAATGGAACGGCATTCTAAAGTTAAACTGTTTTTACAAATAAATTCCTGCACGTGGAACGCTTTTTCTAATGAAGGAGATCGTGTTAATCTTAAGTTGTTGGCGTGAAACAGATTCCCCGCCCCCCACTGTTCAGTGTTCAGATATCTGAATGTCTCCGTATGAAACAAATCATAAAGTACATCCACTACATAGCGTTTTTAAAGCTGAAGCTACTTTCATGCAATTTGAGCTAATTTATTAGTTACTATAATGCTAGTCATGTGAAGCTGTTCTTGGGAAATTAATATGCATAGATCTTTGTGGATTTACAAATACACAAAATTAAATTTCGTATGCAACAGTGTAAACACCTATAAGTAGTAAATTAATGCTTCTTGAGAACATTATGATCTAAACTCTGTAAGGTTTATAACAGGGGAAAAATGATACAATTTAATTTTCTTCTGCTCCCCTCTTTTCAAGATACAGTCAAATAATACTTACATGTAGAGTTCATGATAGATCATAGTAACAACATCAAACAACTTGTGTTTGAAACCCTAATACTTTTAAGATACGGGCATTCAACAAGAGCTTTGAATACGCCCTGAAGTCAGGACATAGACAGTGCTGTACACAGAGCAGTTCCATTTCAAACCAAATAATACAAATATTAAGCCTTTCCATCGTGAAGTTGATTCTTACCTGCACATTGATCTTCTCTCAAGCAGGCATCATCTTACTCTCTTGTTTGAAGCCTTAGGAAGACGGGCTGTGTGCTGGAAGTCAAGCAGCTTAAAATGGCTGGTTTCATGTTGAAGTAGGTTTCTGCAGCTAAAGAGGAAGTTTACCAACACTTGCTCAGGAAGTGTCAGGAGTAGGGAGATTACTAAGAGCCTTATCTCAGAGCTTGCATGCTTTACAAGCAAACTTCTCAGCTCTGTTGTTTTTATAAAACTCAAATATTTACATGTTTGTGGCTTTTGTCTGGTATGTGCCTATTATGTAGAAATTCATTAATACTTGTTTGCCTGTCTCTGAAAATAGTTATAGTTACTTCTGTGTGAGTCAAAAATTATGCGAGTTTGGATTGGATTTGAATCTTACTGATTTAATTTCAGGGGATGGGTTTGGTGTGCTGTCATGATTATTAGTGGGAAAGCAACCTTCATTACCGTGAGTCATAGAAAGCTATCTGATCACAGGATGCTGGCTTGCTAACCCATCCTCATTTATGTAGTTGCACTAAAAGGCAGATAACTACAGATTTCACCCTGTTCCTGCCTCCTACTCTCCATGTTGGTTTTGTGTCTGGACAACTTGGGTACCTGCTGCCGTCATTAATGGGGGCTGTGCTCTCTGAGCAGCTGTTTCCCCACTGTTTGTCTTTGTCCATACCAAACTACTTTCTTTTGTCTCCTTGAGCATTTCTGCCTAGAAAGGCTGCCTGGCAAAAAGGAACCCGCCCAAATATGTCCTCCCGGCATTTTGCAAGCATATTCTGCCAGTGCCAAGTAGCTACTGCCAGATCCTTCTGCAGCTTCTTCATCTCCTCCTGCTCTTCCTGTTGTGCCTCTCTTCTGATTGCACTAGTTCTCTTTTTCAGACTCTCCCTACTCCTGCAGCAAACACCAATCCTGATCCCATACTCACATTATAACTCATAGTTTCTTGTCCGATTCCTTCATTTCATCCCCATTCTCTTCTACCCTCATAGTCTTCACCTACCTTTTGCCACAGTTCCCACCTCATTGACAGTTCTTTTTCCTTCCTGTTTTTCCTTCCATTGATATGATCGTGATTCTTCCCTTTTTTGCGTGCTTTTTTCATGACACTGATGGTTTACTGCTTTGATCTGCTGCCTGCGAACAGCTTACTGTGTTCCTGTCTGCAGGCTGGCTCACTCTCGTACAGATTCATCCTCCTGTTTGAGCTCTGTTACCTTCCTAGCTGTGAGCAGTTTTACACCAGGTTAGATTCCCTCTCTCAGATTATTTTTTTAGTACTTGCACAGCCTCTGCTGTTGCCTCATGTGCTCCTGGTCATTTTGGGGAAGGAGAAGGTAACTGCAATGCAGCATGCCCCAACCCTGCCCCTTAGCTCTCTTTCTGTCACCTGTGAGAGATTCTCAGTTCATCTCCTCTGAGTGCTAGGTTGTCATCACCGATCTGTCACACTTTGCCCTTATTCTTCTCGTCTTTCTCCTCATGTTTTAGAAATGCCTGACATAATCCCCTGTCCTCCCATTCTACTTGTGTGTTGTGTTGCACCTCCTCCCGTTGAGCTCTAAGGTCTGAATGTGTGGTTTATGGCAGATTCGTTGGAATTTGCCCT